AAGCTTGTCATAGGCATCGGCCTTTTCTTGAAGTGTTCCGGCCCTGCCTTTGGCGTTCCTCAAGAGGGCATCGCATTCAGCCCGCACACGAGCCATCTCCTTACCCTGATGCTCAAAGGCCATCCGAGCCCTGTGGAAGTAGAGCCCGGCCTTATCTAGGGTACTCTGCCCACACTCCAGGAGATCCTCGGGGGCCTCATGAGCGGCGAAATCCTGGGGGACTTTGAGATTGAGGCCACACCAGATGGAAGACGCGGTTTGACCAAAGAGCATCATTGACTCCTTGCGAGGGCCAACCCCGGAGAATTCGATGAGGCCAAGAGAGGACCCGTTAGTCTCTGAAGGCGAAGGGGGACGAGCATCGTCAGAGCCCTTGGTAGCATGGACATCTCCATCCCGAAGTCGACGAACCTCAGAGTTGACCGGAGGGGAAACAGGGGGCTTATGCTTGGAGGAGGGTCTCCGCTTCAAGGGACTCCCAGGCTCACCATCGGAGTCGTCAGCCACTATGATGGCTTTGGAGGCAGTACCATCAATGCGCGGCCTCTTTGAAGCCCCAGCCTCCGATGTGTCGTCTGACCGTCTCCCGCTCGCCCGAGACTCAATCTTGGGGACGAGCGGCTTCCTGCCCTTATCCTCATTCTTGTTGTCGCGGCCGTGGGCGTGCGAAGCAACATTGGTGCGCCCCATGGATGATATGGATGGGAAAACTCCTGCAGAAAGATAGTCAAGACGTTCAGAACCATAACAACGAAAGGGTGATAGGACAATGCAAGTACAAACAGACGCACCTAGTCCGGCCCGAGCCTTGAAAGGCTCGGCCACCAGCGACCGAAGGTTCTGGATGCCAAGACCAGCTATGCGCTTGGCATAGCCAAGCTCCTCATCCGTCATAGGCGGCGGAATGGACTTCACCGGATAGGCGTTCCACCTATCAGAGAATGGCATCGGGGAGCCTACTTCGGCGAGGAAGAACCGTTCCTCCCAGCCGTCCGGGTTCCCGGCGTTGTTTGAGAACAGACCCATGGACGAACGCGCGATGAGGGTTAAGTACCCCGTACGTCCAAAGGGGGATAACCGGAAGAAATGATGCAATAAGTCGACGGTAGGGGTCACCTCAACACTGTGACATCGAATTATAAAACCCGCGATGATCCTATAGGCAGCGGGGACGAACTGAGCAGGCGCCACTCTGAGGCTCCTAAAAAGCTCTATATGGAAGCTATGGAGGGGGAAAAGGAGGCCGGCTATAACGGAGTCTAAATGGACCACCACATAGCCGGGCTGATGGCGCATTGGGTTGCGCAGACGACGATCGTCATAAACCCTTGGGGGGAGAAACCATTGGCTTATCAGCCGACGATCCGCATTCAATAGACGCTGACGCTGGCGACGGACACCGTGAAAATTCAGATGATTGCGGGGGGGCCGAGGTGGCATGCCCCGCTCATAGAACTCCAGATCATCACCAGAGGAACACCCATCGTCAAACCTATCCCCGGCGGACGACGAGCTGCTTCGGGTCCTTAAATCAATGTTTTGGGTTTCTAACCTAGACGAAGACATGACGACGTTCGGTACCTACCGGGGCTCGAGCCTGGGGCGGTGCCGAGAAAAGCTAGAGAGAGAAAGTGGTTGCACAGCACAAGAGCTAGGGATGAGGCAAATGGAGAATTCGCGAGACCTTGTGTGACACCGGTCCCGAACGTCCTTGAAAATTCGATTTAAAATTCAAAGTTTATGTATTGAATTTCTGATTCCCAAACAATTGTGAAACGATTGTTGTTTTACGTAATTAATGATTGATTATTATACTGTTCGAACTCGTATATTAGTATCGGGCCTTATTAATAAATAAAAGATCCTAACATTATCTAAATAGTTATACATAACGTTTCAAGACAAGTTGAGGAAGGGCGGGCAGCCCATATATTATTTGGGCCCAACCTGCTAAAGTAGCAAATATTTGAGGATGGCGTCGTAGGCCCACTCGGGGGCGACCCACACGGCTTGTAGCCCAATAATATGAATGACAAATGTCAAGATAAGTGATAGGATGATTAAAGAAGAGTACAAATGCCTATAACCCCATCTTTGGCATTATTGAGCCAAATAATGGGAGTAGGATTTTCCTTCTATATTATCCATCAAGTAAATTATTGAGATGAGCCTACACATATTGGGGATCAATAATGTTATGTAGGAAGTTGACTTGTTCTAAATAAATTAGGATGAGTACAAAAAGACATCTTTGACAAAAGATAAAACAATAGGACCCATTCTTCCATTTTTGGGTGTATTGATAGATATTTTGGATCCCAAATTAATTGGGATCAATGGGGAACCACTCCACATGATATTAGTACCTGCAAGACAAGGAAAATATGTGAGAAGACTCACCTTGGCCGCACCACATGGAGAAGCACTGCCCATGACACAATTGGAATCAAATTTTGGGGCCACCACCACTGTTTTCGCACAAACAGGTGTGCTGTTTTGTCTCCCTTCATTTTGAGAGTTGTACTCGTCCAAATGAGGTGTATAAGGTGTTTTTGGATAGCCTTTGAAGTCTATTTTCATAATTGAGTGGTCTCTGTTCGAGAGGAGAGAGTAGTCATCCAAAAATCGATCTGAAGCGAGCAGTGGTCTGTGAACTCGAGCTGTGAGAGTGCTGAGACTGTTTGGTTGATATCTCGAGTTTTACCAATCCAATTAAGGCGTGTGAGATACCAAAAGAAAGCTCTCAAGACGAGGAATCCGTGAAGGTCTGGTTTGCATCAATCGGAGTAGAGGAAGGCTTCCAAATCGTCCGAGCAGAACGCGACCTCGCAGGGACGGATTTACTCTTCTAAGTGAGTTTTTAATCCCAAAACCTTTCCATTCATTTTCCAAATGATATGAACGATTGGTGGGACTATTATACACTACTCCAAGTGTATAAAACATCCCTATTAAGTTATTTTATTGATGTAAAGGTTAGATACTAACCTAGATGCAAATATTGGAAAACTAGGAATCGAGTTAGCCGGAAAACACCCGTTCTAGGGGCTGTTTTTGTATCAACGATTAGGAGTTGAAATAGCAACTTGAGGAAGCTGTTTAACACCCATTTTCAAGCAAGGAACCAGCTCTCAATATTCCTTGGCCGAGGCTTTGGTCATTGGATCGAGAAGGAAGGTTTTAAAGCTCATTTGAGGTGAGGACCGACATCTAGTTGCTTACAACTTGTAGGTTATGCATGAGATTACCTAAATGCTTAAATCATGTTTTTGTGAATAAATATGCTTGAACATGATATGAATGATAAGTAATGGACTTGATCATAAATTGAAACCATATTGATGAATATGGAGTCATGTGAGATAAAAGTATGCTAAAATGGTAAATTGACCTTCCAACTCATGTATGAATGTTATGTGTATGTAAATGTATGATTGCATGATGATGCTTAGCACATGGGAGGCTGCCACATATCTATTGATATGGAGGGGCTACCATTAATGATAAATGAGTTGTAGGAATAATCTTAATAGTATTGTGATGCTAGTTAAGGATTGTTCTAAATGTTGATAGAACCAAACTTAAAGGTTGAGTTTGTTTGTGATGAACTTGAATGAGATTCAAGTGTCAATTGGGAAATCATGGAGTAGGAGATCTATGGTGTGGTTTTATGAAGTAGGAGATCTATGGTGTGGTTTTATGAAGTAGGAGATCTATGGTGTGGTTTTATGAAGTAGGAGATCTATGGTGTGATTATATGAAGTAGGAGATCTATGATATGATTATATGAAGTAAGAGATCTATGATGCGAGTGCATGATGATGTACTCGAGCCGAACTCTAGAAATGAGAAGTTGTATTAGGGTTGGACCCTACGTATGTCGTGACCATTAGTCACGGGGTTTTGGAAAATGTTTTATAACAAACATGGGCCTTTGAGCCGACTACTTGACTTTATATAAAGTAAGTATATATTTTGAAAGGGGTAATTTGAGATTACGGCCTATACTATATTATCACCCTATTTGAGGGTCTTGTGTGTGAAATACTTGTTGTATATCTATTAGATGCCTGCCACACCAGCACTTTATAGCCCTATAGAGTGCTGACCCCTTCGGGGGCGTCCCACCACCATTTTTCAGGTTGAGGCTAGAGCTTGCTTCCTGTGCTCGTTGCTCGAGAGATCATCTAGGAGGGAAGACTTGGTTCGTGCTTCCTCCATTCGTTTTTTAAACATTAATAAACATGCTCATGGATATTTTACTTTAGAGCCTGCGTGCTCATGAATAGCCCTGTGTGGCCCTTTGTTTTAAACAATGTTTTCCGCTGCGTTATGAATTACTTATTATGTTTGTTTATGGATGTTACGTGTGTGAATGATATTCAAGACGCCTTGTATAATATGAATGTGTTGGACTGCGGTTGACTATTTGTATTGTACGGCGGGTTGTTGACGTGTCCGGGGAGGTCCGGGGCGTGACAATTAAGTTGGTATCAGAGCCTTAGTCCATAAACTTCATAATGAAGTCTCAAAATTCTCTTTTCAAAATGATTTTTGAAAACCATGAGCAAAAACGTTTTGTACTTAAGAACTTTTGGTGTTTGAGTTGCAAGGTCTCTAATTGTTAAGATGGCGCCCTTAACGATTGGTATGGCGGTGACTTGGCCCAAGAGATGTCTTAAGTGCCTATCTGTCAGTTGACATTTGAAACGAGTCTAATGACTCATTCTAATTATTTCTTTCAGCGATGGAGGGTGATGGTGGTATTATGAATAGGGAGAACTCGGAAGGGTTTGCACCGGGTGGAACCGGGCATGCCAACCGAGAAAAGCCCTTAGGACCAAAGGTGCACGAAACTCTTGAAGCTCAAATCGTGAGTGGTGGTCATGTTAAGACCAAGGAAGAATCACCTTGTTATGGCAAAACTGAACCACTCAAGGCTTCGGGTGACGAAGGAGATGATTTGAGTGATGAGGACCTTGATGGTGCACCCATTGAACAAATGGGCATGGTCATAGATTGGCTTCAACGTGAACGTGTGAGGCTTATACAAAAACGCCAAGCTAGGCAAGCTGAGGGCATACCATTAGTAAGGAAAAGGAAGCGGGGAGACAACGATTCCCAAAGACATTCAAGGAGGACAAACGTTGAGGGTGACAAAACCTTCAGGGCGCAGACACTATCACTTGAGTGGAGTCGAGGCTTGGGTGGCCCGAACTCGAGGTCAAAAGGTCCGAGGGTACCTAAGTGCAACAATTGCAAGAAACACCACTCGGGTAAGTGTCAGGACCCTCCCAGGTGCTATCAATGCACAGAGGTCGGGCACACGAGAGTGAGTTGCCCACAAATTGTGCAAAACCAAACTTCGGGGTCAAGTGGTGGAACTACAAGAAATGAAAACCAAACTGAGGTTTCTCAAGGGAGCAGGGGACATGGGGGAGCAAGCACGAGCAACGCGCCATCCGTGAACCAAGGAAGGACCCAAGCTAGGGTCTATGCGATGACGGAGGCGGATGCTCAAGCTAACCTGGATTCCGTTGAAGGTAGTACCTCTTGTATACTTGTTTTTATCCTTAATTAGTCCATAAATTGAGGTTGCTAGTCGTTGGGATCATTGTACGAAGCTTTGGGGTCAAACGGAGCGAAATCGGGCGAAAGACGGCTGATTTCCGCCAACGCACACCAGGCCGGACCATACGCACGGCCGTGCGTTGGTCCGTGCGTTGGTGGCAGTAGCAACCGGGAAGAAATTGCTATACGCACGGCCGTGCGTTGTCCGTGCGTTGGTCCGTGCGTTGGTGGCAGTAGCCACCGGGAAGAAATTGCTATACGCACGGACGTGCGTTGTCCGTGCGTTGGTCCGTGCGTTGGTGGCAGTAGCTCCGTTTTGAGGTTATAAGACACGCACGCCGTGCGTACCTCCTAGGCACGCCGTGCGTACCTCCTGGGCAGCCCAAAGTCGACTTTTTCGCGCCGTATTGCAACGTTAAGACCCGTTCTTGACCCCAAACATGTGTGTGAACATAATAAACCTCTCTAAATGTATAAGAATGGTAGGAAAGGTATCTCACATGACATAAATGTAGGGACACTAAAGATTAATGGGAAGGATGCGCGAATCCTTATCGATATCGGGGCGCAACGTTCATTTGTGAATGAAGCGTTCGCCAAGAGGTTGGGGGTGCAATCCGCACCATTGATGCAAACCTTAGTGGTATCAACACCACTAGGAGATGACGTGGAAAGAACTTGTTATTATCCATCTTGTGGGGTGGAGGTTAATGGTCAAGCCTTGACGTGTGACTTCGTACCGCTGGGCATGATTGAATTCGATGCAATCCTAGGGATGGATTGGCTAGAAAGGAACCATGCTAGGGTAGATTGCTACACGAAGGTTCTTGAACTCGAAGGCAATGATGGGGAGACCCTACTCTTCGAGGGCGATCGAGGGAGATCAAATAGCTGTATCATATCCGCCGTGAGAGCGAGAAGTATGATGAGAAAGGGATGCCACGCATATCTAGCATACGTGGTTGACAAAACCAAAGAGGAAACGAACATCGATGATGTGAGGGTGGTTTTGATGAGCTAGAATTTGTGCTTCATTTTCATATTACTTTATTACAATTCTAAGCTCATTATTTGCCTAATTGAGAGGCTCGAGTTATATTTTGTATTAAAAATGATTTTTACAGGTGAGAACTTTAAGTTGAAGAATTTGAGGATTTTTGGATGGATTTGTGGAGATTTTTCCTTTTCCAAGGGCTGTTGAAAAGTTGAAAGAAAGTGAGCATTTTTTTAATGAAAAAGGATTCCTGTGCAGCAAAATAGAAAAAAAGGAAAAAGAGGATTACTCCTCATTATTTACTCGGCAGCAATCGCTCAGACCAGTCGGGGGAGAGCTAAAGCAGTCCAGTGGCGCACAAGGGAAAAGGATCCGATCCAAATTAAAAGAGGGCAGTTATCTCAGTCTTAAACTCACACACCTGCAACCCAAATCCGGAAAGAAAAGAAGGAACAAAGGGCCCAAGAACAGTACGGAATGCAGCGAGAGAGGAACTCCGGGTTTCATTAGTTCGAACGGCACCGAAAATTGAGGGGCTAGCGTGTACAGCGGCAAACTGATGAAACGGCTGTGCTCTTTCGCTATAAAAAAACGCAGCAGTGATTCTTCTTGGAGGACGTTGGAGGTCGGGGATTCTGATCGGGCACTAAACAGAGAAAAGGGCCAGACCGGAAGCTGGAAGGAAGGATCGTTACCTTGTCTAGTTGGCTGGATTCCAGAAATAAGAACAGCAACAGCAAGTCTTGGAGAAAATTCAGCAATAGCTACACTGGTTTGCTGATATGAAATCCAATTTTCTTCTATTTTTGCTGTGCATTCGATTCGTATAATGTCTAGTTTTACTTATGGAGTACCAAAAGTACTCTGCTTTTTCCTAGAACTGTGAATCGTGCTTGATGGCCAGAACAAATTGCTTTATTCACATTGTTTTAGTGAATAACTTTATTGTTATGAGTAGCTAAATTCTTTAAGTCCGGATTATGATGAAGTTGCTATGATTTAGTATAAAATTGTGATTTTAGTTATGTTAATTGATTGAGTTTTATCCATTATTCTTATTCGCTTAATTTGTTGTGTTAACTTCTGGCCAATTTTAACATGATTGATTGAGTTGTTTGAGTGGATTAATAGAGTACATGTCATGCCTATTAGTTCGAGCTCTTTTGGATAAAAGAATAGATAATTTGGCTGTCTTGTTAGGTTGTCTATTTGGTTCTTAAATCGGGTTTCCATAGTTCTTTTGTGATTAATGGATTTTAACTATCGAATTAATAATTTCCTGTTAATTAATAGTTAAAGTACGTGACTTATTCTGGACGCCATACGGAATAGTCATAATTTTGCCTAGAACGAACCCTCAATTCTAATTGACTAACTAAATCACAAATACTAAAAATTAGCGACAGATTCATAATCCTGGACTATCTTTTCTCTTGCTTAATTCTCAATCAATTTCACATTATTTGTTTAATTACTTTATTTTTGTCCAATTAAATCCCTTGCATTCATTTTAATTCAATCTTTACTTTGTCAGTTTAAAACCAAACAAGTTTAAAACTCATTTTATTTAGTTAGGTTAATTTCACTTTTATTTTTATTAATTAATAGTTTTCCAATTACTTGGTTGCATTTTCCCCGTGGATTCGACCCTTACTTGAGCACTGTACTACCGCGACTCGTGCACTTGCGAGGACTTATAAATTGTCTATCAATTTTTGGCGCCGTTGCCGGGGAATTTGTTTAACTAGTTTTTGGAAAATTGTTAATTTAGTTTTATTTTAGTTAGTTGTGTTTGCTTTTCTTTTTTTCGTTTTTTTTTGTATGCTTGGTCGCAGGTCACTTAATCCAGATTTGCTATCGTTGAACGACCAAGTTGACTTAATTGGCAAAAGAACAAAGAGGAGGCTCCGATTTGTTCCTAATCCAACAATGGGTGACGCGCAGCTAATGAAAGAGTTTGGGAGACCGACTGTAGGTGTCTCCCCGTCCTGCATTGTACTAAGTGAGGCTGCCAGGAACTATGATCTAAAGACAGTTCACTTTAACCAATTGCCATCTTTTCATGGGCTTTCTTCTGAGGATGCGCTGATCTTTATCCGAGATTTCTACGGCATCATCCAAAATTTTCCCTTGCAAGGAGTGACTGAAGATGAGCTGAGGATGAGGTGCTTTCCGTACACTCTCAAAGATGCTGCTAAGACATGGTTTATGTCTTTGACACCTGGTTCCCTGCGCACATGGGCTGATGTCTACAATAAATTCATTGGCAAGTATTATTCTCAGTCAAAAACTTCAGAATTAAGAAGAAAAATTGCCAATTTCACTCAAGCTGAAGGTGAGCCATTCCATGAGGCATGGGAGAGATTTAAGATGCTGCTCACTCAATGTCCACACCACGGTTATTCATTGGCGCTCCAGAATCAGACTTTCTATGACGGTTTAAATCAAGGATGCCAAGCTATTGTTGACAACGCAGCTGGAGGAGCAATGGGAGAGAAGACCGCAGAACAAACTTTAGAGCTTTTCGAGATGCTTGGAGCCAATTCGCAACAGAAGAGTGTGCAGGGCAGAACTCCAGGAATTTATGAAGTGGGCGTTGGGACAGAACTAGCCATCCAGATGTCTGAGTTGTCCAAACAGATGAAGAATATGTGCTCCGTGATGACAATGAGCATGTCTACTCCTGTTGTGCATGCAGTACCTGAAGCTGGTTTTGAGCAAGCTCATATGATGAACTCCTACAATCAAGGGCCAGGAAATGATCCATTCTCCAACTCTTACAATCCCGGTTGGAGGAACCATCCTAATTTCTCATGGAGTAACACACAACAAAGCAACCAGCCACCACCTTCACAGAAGAAGCCTGCTTTGGAGGATACTTTGCAAACTTTCATGCAAATCTGCACCCAAAATCAGCAAGCAAATGAGCAGCGTTTTCAGCGCACCGAGGCCTCTTTGAGGAAGCTAGAAGTACAAGTTGGGCAGATTGCTAAATCTCTCCAAGGACACGTGCAAGGGAAGCTACCGAGCCACACTGAAGAAGCAAATTTTGTCACAATTCTTAGAAGTGGGAAGGTAATTGAGAAAGATGAAGCGCAGCCCATTCTTAAGCCATCGGAGAAGGTAGAAGCTGAAAAGAAAGAAGTTGAGGCTGAATCAGTCCATGAGGAGATCGGGTTGCACAAAGCTGAAGATCCATATGTGCCGCCTAAACCATATGTTCCACCCGTTCCTTTCCCAAACAGGTTAAAAAGTTCTAAGCTTAACAATTCTTTTGATGAGATTTATAAGTTGCTGTCTAAGGTTAATGTGAATTTGCCTCTTCTTGACATGATAAAAAACATGCCTGCCTACGCTAAATTTTTGAAAGAATTGAGCACTAGAAAGCGTAGGTATGAACCAAATGAAAAAGTGTTTGTTTCTAAGGCTGTTAGTGATGTTTTGCAAAAAGAATTGCCCCCAAAATTAGAAGACCCTGGCAGTTTTATTATCAATATTAATTTAGGGAATTCTAAATCTGAGAAAGCAATGCTTGATTTGGGGGCAAGTATTAATTTGATGCCTTATTCCGTTTATTTGAAATTAGGGCTGAATGAGCTAAAATCCACTACTATGTCCCTACAGCTCGCTGACCGGTCTATTAGATATCCTAGGGGCATTGTTGAGGATGTTTTAGTTCAAGTGGATAAGTTGATCATTCCTGCTGATTTTGTGGTTTTAGATATGGATGATCGGTGCAAGTATGTGAAAGACATGCCAATTTTACTTGGCAGACCTTTTATGGCCACGACAAAAACCATGATTGATGTTCAAAATGGAAAATTGACTATGAGTGTGCTTGATGAAACTGTTGAGTTTTCCATTTTGAAATCCATGAGTATGCCTGCCGATTCTAATTCATGTTTTGCACTTGATATTCTTAATCCGAGTGTCTCTCTAGACAAGTCACAGGAAGATGGTCTTGAGAATCATGCTTTTGAGAAAGAGAAAGTTTGCAAGAAGTGCATTAATTGTTTGCATCAAAAGTCCATTTTGAGGAAGGATTTTAAACCTGGAATTAAAGTGTTATTGCTTGACTCTCGTTTAAGATTTCTTTCAGGAAATTTAAAGTTTAAGTGGACTGGTCCGTATGTGATTCGCCAAGTTTTTCCCTATGGTGCAATTGAGCTTGAAAATCCAAAATCCGGGAATATTTTTAAAGTGAATGGTGAGAGAGTGAGGAGCTATTCAAGCAGTGAAGATTCTTTTGAGCAAGTTGAGTGTCTTGAGCTTTGGGAATACCATTGCTCATGTTGTTTCTAGTCACAATTTCTCAGCCAAAAAAAAAAAATTATAAAAAAAAATCATTATCTTAATTCTGTTTTCCCCCTCCCCATCCTGTCTTTTCTTTCTTTGTTTCTTTGTGTTTTGCAGGTTTTATTTCAAGAGGTTACTGTTTTCGTTTGAAGTGCATTCAGGGAGTATCTTTTTCTTTTTCTTTTTTATTAATCATTCATTGTGCATAATGCTTGAAATAAGTGTGGGGGAGGAGTAGCTCTCAATTTTTTTAGTTCTATCTTAGTTTAAAAAAAAAAACAGAAAACTGCAGAAAAAAATTCAGAAAAAAAACTGTTTTTCTTGCTTGGATTTGAGGGAAATGTAATTTCAGGATTACTTTTTGGTTTCAAGTTGTGAAAGTTTCCCTTTCATTGGTATGTGGTATGATTGGTGGTTTCCATGATAGATATTCTCTTGAATTTGATTGAGTTCTTCACATTGTTTTTACTTGGAGTCAATTTCTTAGCTTCTTGTGTCATTAATTTTGATGTACTTTTCAATTCTTTATGATCTTTTAGGATGCATCTTGAACGTTCTTGGAAAGAGTGTGAGTCCTTTGACTTTTAGCTAGCATGATAGAACTTGTCTTGTTGCTCTTTTGGAAGCTAAGTTATAGTGCAAATTGATTGAGAAGTGATCTAGGCCATTTTTCATAACCCGAGACTTTTAGCCTACCCTTTGCATTTTATTTCCACTTGCTACCCCTTTGAGCCTACTTGGTCTTATAGCATTCTACCGTGCTTTTGACTAGTATTTTTTTTTTTTTTTGTAATTACCCATCATTATTAACCCCGAACCCTAATTAGACAAAATTATCCCTCACCCTTGAGTTGACATTTTTTTTACTTAAATTGTGACTTGGAAGAGTTTACAATTTTTTTGGAGCATTTTTTTTCCCGGCAGTTTGTATAGATGTAATATTGTTAGAGCAGTTTGATATTTCTTTTTAGAAGTAGTGTTGATGTAGCATTCAAAAAAAAAATTGAAAAAAAAAAAAGAAAAGAAAAAAAAAGAAAAGAAAAAAAAGCGGAAAAAGAAAAAAGGAAAAAAAAAAAGTGAAAAAAAAGAAAAGACAAAAAAAGAGAGAAAAAAAGATGAGTTCAGTTGAAGTTTGTATTCTTTTCACTTTTTGTATGTACTTCATTGTCTTAGAAGCCGGTTGATTGTTGTAATAGTTTTTTTGTGCTCCGTTACCATGTTTTTGAACTCTTCCTAGGATCAATTTGGTTTAGAAAATGTCTCCTCTTTTGTTTTGTTTTGAACTCCATGTCCTTTCTTTCATTAAACCATTACCCATGGTCATGTTACAACCCGAATAAAAGTCCTAAGTGATCTTGATCAAGTTTGTGCTTTGATAAGGTGGAAGGAGGAGCATAAGATGACTATAGAGTGTTAACTGATTGGCTTAGGGCTTTGCACAATTTCTGTGAGAGTTACTTGAGTGTCTCACTAGGTCATTTAGAATTGTAAAATACATCTCTATTAATGACATGTGAGTCTCAGTAATTGACTTTTGAGTTGGGCTTTGTGGTGGATACTTGATTCGAATTTCTTGGGGAAAATTTGTCATGGATGGGAATGTTGGTATGCTTGGTGAGTGAAAGGGGACTTTGATCACTTGTAGCTGATTTGGTTTCTTGATATTAATTTTCCTTGAGGACAAGCAAAATGTAAGTGTGGGGGAGTTTGATGAGCTAGAATTTGTGCTTCATTTTCATATTACTTTATTACAATTCTAAGCTCATTATTTGCCTAATTGAGAGGCTCGAGTTATATTTTGTATTAAAAATGATTTTTACAGGTGAGAACTTTAAGTTGAAGAATTTGAGGATTTTTGGATGGATTTGTGGAGATTTTTCCTTTTCCAAGGGCTGTTGAAAAGTTGAAAGAAAGTGAGCATTTTTTTAATGAAAAAGGATTCCTGTGCAGCAAAATAGAAAAAAAGGAAAAAGAGGATTACTCCTCATTATTTACTCGGCAGCAATCGCTCAGACCAGTCGGGGGAGAGCTAAAGCAGTCCAGTGGCGCACAAGGGAAAAGGATCCGATCCAAATTAAAAGAGGGCAGTTATCTCAGTCTTAAACTCACACACCTGCAACCCAAATCCGGAAAGAAAAGAAGGAACAAAGGGCCCAAGAACAGTACGGAATGCAGCGAGAGAGGAACTCCGGGTTTCATTAGTTCGAACGGCACCGAAAATTGAGGGGCTAGCGTGTACAGCGGCAAACTGATGAAACGGCTGTGCTCTTTCGCTATAAAAAAACGCAGCAGTGATTCTTCTTGGAGGACGTTGGAGGTCGGGGATTCTGATCGGGCACTAAACAGAGAAAAGGGCCAGACCGGAAGCTGGAAGGAAGGATCGTTACCTTGTCTAGTTGGCTGGATTCCAGAAATAAGAACAGCAACAGCAAGTCTTGGAGAAAATTCAGCAATAGCTACACTGGTTTGCTGATATGAAATCCAATTTTCTTCTATTTTTGCTGTGCATTCGATTCGTATAATGTCTAGTTTTACTTATGGAGTACCAAAAGTACTCTGCTTTTTCCTAGAACTGTGAATCGTGCTTGATGGCCAGAACAAATTGCTTTATTCACATTGTTTTAGTGAATAACTTTATTGTTATGAGTAGCTAAATTCTTTAAGTCCGGATTATGATGAAGTTGCTATGATTTAGTATAAAATTGTGATTTTAGTTATGTTAATTGATTGAGTTTTATCCATTATTCTTATTCGCTTAATTTGTTGTGTTAACTTCTGGCCAATTTTAACATGATTGATTGAGTTGTTTGAGTGGATTAATAGAGTACATGTCATGCCTATTAGTTCGAGCTCTTTTGGATAAAAGAATAGATAATTTGGCTGTCTTGTTAGGTTGTCTATTTGGTTCTTAAATCGGGTTTCCATAGTTCTTTTGTGATTAATGGATTTTAACTATCGAATTAATAATTTCCTGTTAATTAATAGTTAAAGTACGTGACTTATTCTGGACGCCATACGGAATAGTCATAATTTTGCCTAGAACGAACCCTCAATTCTAATTGACTAACTAAATCACAAATACTAAAAATTAGCGACAGATTCATAATCCTGGACTATCTTTTCTCTTGCTTAATTCTCAATCAATTTCACATTATTTGTTTAATTACTTTATTTTTGTCCAATTAAATCCCTTGCATTCATTTTAATTCAATCTTTACTTTGTCAGTTTAAAACCAAACAAGTTTAAAACTCATTTTATTTAGTTAGGTTAATTTCACTTTTATTTTTATTAATTAATAGTTTTCCAATTACTTGGTTGCATTTTCCCCGTGGATTCGACCCTTACTTGAGCACTGTACTACCGCGACTCGTGCACTTGCGAGGACTTATAAATTGTCTATCAGGTTTGTAAGTATCCGGATGTCTTCCCTAAAGACCTACCGGGGCTTCCACCTGACAGAGAGATTGAATTTGTGATCGAGGTCGAGCCGGGTACCAAACCAATCTCCATACCGCCATACCGTATGGCACCCGCTGAACTTAACGAGTTGAAAACCCAATTGCAAGAGCTTTTGGATAATGGTTTCATTAGACCAAGCCACTCCCCGTGGGGGGCACCGGTTCTTTTTGTGAAAAAGAAAGATGGGACACTTCGAATGTGCATCGACTATCGTCAACTGAACAAGGTCACAATCAAGAATAGGTATCCTTTGCCTAGGATTGATGACTTGTTTGATCAACTACGAGGAGCAACCGTGTTTTCAAAGATTGACTTGAGGTCGGGGTACCATCAATTGAAGATTAAGGAAGATGACATACCAAAGAGTGCTTTCCGCACAAGGTATGGGCATTTTGAGTTCCTTGTTATGTCGTTTGGGTTAACAAACGCCCCAGCGGCATTCATGGACTTGATGAACCGAGTATTCCACAAATACTTGGATCGATTCGTGATTGTGTTCATAGATGACATTTTGATTTACTCAAAGAATGAGGAAGAGCATGAAGAGCACTTGATACTCGTTCTTGAGACACTACGGGAGAAGCAACTTTATGCCAAATTTTCTAAATGTGAATTTTGGCTAAAGGAAATTGGCTTTCTCGGGCATGTGGTTTCGGGATCGGGAATTGCTGTTGATAATAAGAAGATAGAGGCCATTACTGAATGGGAGAGACCAAAGAATGTCAAGGAAATTTGTAGTTTCCTTGGACTGGCAGGCTACTACAGAAAGTTCGTGGAGAAGTTCTCTGTTTTGGCATCACCATTGACGAAGCTCACACGTAAAGGAGCTAAGTTTGTATGGGATGACAAATGTGAGGAGGGGTTCATGGAACTAAAGAAGCGATTGACCGAGGCACCGGTACTTGCATTACCCAAACAGGGTGTGGGGTACGATGTCTATAGCGACGCGAGCATCCAAGGGCTTGGATGCGTACTGATGCAGAATGGGAGGGTAATCGCCTATGCTTCACGACAGTTGAAGAAACATGAGGTGAATTATCCTACTCATGACTTGGAGCTGGGGGCTGTGGTGTTTGCACTGAAGATATGGAGACATTATCTCTACGGGGAGACATGTCACATATACACTGATCACAAGAGCTTGAAATACGTGTTTACTCAGAAGGAGCTAAACATGAGACAGAGACGGTGGATGGAGTTGATAAAAGACTACCATCTAGTGATAGAGTATCACCCGGGCAAGGCAAACGTGGTGGCAGATGCTTTGAGTCGGGAGAGCTCGTCTGGGGCATTGCTAGCTAATTTGAGGGCATTAAGAGCCCAACTGGAGGTATCCAGCGATGGTGCCTTATTGGCACGATTTGAGGTGAGACCTACTTTACTTGATGAGATCAAGAAGGGTCAAGAGACTGACGCAGAACTTATGAAGGTCCGGGAACGCATGCAAGCGGGACCGGTGGAGGATTTCAGGGAAAGAGATGATGGTCTCTTGTTATTTCGTGACCGAGTGTGTGTGCCGTCAGATGATGAGCTCCGAAAGTCCATCTTAGAGGAGGCTCATTCATCGGCTTATGCCATGCACCCGGGGGGCACGAAAATGTACCGTGATTTGAAAGAAAGTTACTGGTGGTCTGGAATGAAGAGGGAAATAGCCGAGTACATCAGCCGATGCCTTACTTGTCAACAAGTTAAGGCAGAACATCAGCATCCAGCAGGCTTGTTACAACCACTTTCCATTCCTGAGTGGAAGTGGGAACATGTGACTATGGATTTCGTGGTAGGTTTACCACGGACAATTCGGAACTACGATGCGGTTTGGGTTATTGTGGATAGGCTCACAAAGAGTGCACACTTCTTGCCTATCAACACTACCTACCCACTTGAGAGGTTAGCCAAATTGTATACGGATGAGATCGTGAGGCTGCATGGGGTCCCAGTGACCATTGTATCCGATAGAGACCCACGATTCACATCACGTTTTTGGCCGAAATTTCAAGAGTCTATGGGAACGAGGTTGAAGTTCAGTACTGCTTTCCATCCACAGACGGATGGGCAGTCTGAGAGGGTTATACAGATCTTAGAGGATATGTTGAGGGCTTGTGCGTTAGAGTTCCAAGGAAGTTGGGACAACCACTTAGCACTCGTGGAGTTCGCCTATAACAACAGTTATCAGGCAAGTATCGGCATGCCTCCATACGAAGCATTGTATGGGAGGAGGTGTCGTACGCCGTTATGCTGGGACGAGGTTGGCATGGCCAAACTCGAGGGTACTGAGTTGGTTGAGATCACCAAGTCAAAGGTGAAGTTGATTCGAGAGAGACTCAAAGCGGCTCAGGATAGGCAAAAGAGTTATGCAGATAAGCGTCAGAGGACCTTAGAGTTTAAGGTTGATGACGAGGTATTCCTGAAAGTTTCTCCTTGGAAAGGAATCATTCGATTCCAAACCCGAGGAAAGCTTAACCCACGATATATAGGCCCATTCAGAATTATAGAGAGGATTGGGGCCGTAGCATATCGTCTACAGTTGACTCCTGAGTTGGAAAAGATACACAATGTGTTTCATGTATCCATGCTTAAGAAGTATGTGCATGATCCCTCTCACGTATTAGAAAAGCCGCCTGTGGAGGTACGTGAGGATTTGAACTACGCTGTGCGACCAATCAAGGTCACCGATAGGAAAGTGAAGAAACTGAGGAGCAAAGAAGTCCCGATGGTTAAAGTCCTTTGGAAGAGCGACCGGGTCGAAGAAGAGACATGGGAAACAGAGGCCTTGATGAGGAAACAGTATGCCTTCCTATTCGAGTAGAGCTGTGAATTTTGGGGACGAAATTCCTGTTAAGGGGGGGTGAACTTGTGACACCGCTCCCGAACGTCCTTGAAAATTCGATTTAAAATTCAAAGTTTATGTATTGAATTTCTGATTCCCAAACAATTGTGAAACGATTGTTGTTTTACGTAATTAATGATTGATTATTATACTGTTCGAACTCGTATATTAGTATCGGGCCTTATTAATAAATAAAAGATCCTAACATTATCTAAATAGTTATACATAACGTTTCAAGACAAGTTGAGGAAGGGCGGGCAGCCCATATATTATTTGGGCCCAACCTGCTAAACTAGCAAATATTTGAGGACGGCGTCGTAGGCCCACTCGGGGGCGACCCACACGGCTTGTAGCCCAATAATATGAATGACAAATGTCAAGATAAGTGATAGGATGATTAAAGAAGAGTACAAATGCCTATAACCCCATCTTTGGCATTATTGAGCCAAATAATGAGAGTAGGATTTTCCTTCTATATTATCCATCAAGTAAATTATTGAGATGAGCCTACACATATTGGGGATCAATAATGTTATGTAGGAAGTTGACTTGTTCTAAATAAATTAGGATGAGTACAAAAAGACATCTTTGACAAAAGATAAAACAATATGACCCATTCTTCCATTTTTGGGTGTATTGATAGATATTTTGGATCCCAAATTAATTGGGATCAATGGGGAACCACTCCACATGATATTAGTACCTGCAAGACAAGGAAAATATGTGAGAAGACTCACCTTGGCCGCACCACATGGAGAAGCACTGCCCATGACACAATTGGAATCAAATTTTGGGGCCACCACCACTGTTTTCGCACAAACAGGTGTGCTGTTTTGTCTCCCTTCATTTTGAGAGTTGTACTCGTCCAAATGAGGTGTATAAGGTGTCCTTGGATAGACTTTGAAGTCTATTTTCATAATTGAGTGGTCTCTGTTCGAGAGGAGAGAGTAGTCATCCAAAAATCGATCTGAAGCGAGCAGTGGTCTGTGAACTCGAGCTGTGAGAATGCTGAGACTGTTTGGTTGATATCTCGAGTTTTACCAATCCAATTAAGGCGTGTGAGATACCAAAAGAAAGCTCTCAAGACGAGGAATCCGTGAAGGTCTGGTTTGCATCAATCGGAGTAGAGGAAGGCTTCCAAATCGTCCGAGCAGAACGCGACCTCGCAGGGACGGATTTACTCTTCTAAGTGAGTTTTTAATCCCAAAACCTTTCCATTCATTTTCCAAATGATATGAACGATTGGTGGGACTATTATACACTACTCCAAGTGTATAAAACATCCCTATTAAGTTATTTTATTGATGTAAAGGTTAGATACTAACCTAGATGCAAATATTGGAAAACTAGGAATCGAGTTAGCCGGAAAACACCCGTTCTAGGGGCTGTTTTCGTATC